TGCTCAGCTGGGATAGGAGCATGTGTTTAAACTTGGGAAAAACTACACACTTCAGCTTTAAATACAGACAGAAATCACAATGGCTCTTAGAAATAATATGATTATAATATATATATATATATATACATTTTTTTTTTTCTTCTGCTTGTGAAGATATCTTTTCATACTGTTCATTTGACCCGTGTTATCACCCTCCCAACAGTGACGCTTTGCTTGTATTTTTTTGTTCATTGGGCTCAGGACCAAATGTGGTTCCCTTATTTACCAGAAGTAAAAATATTATCCCATATTCACATTCATCCACACCTGCTCCTCGTCGCCTGCCGGCAGACGTGTTCATTTTTCAATCGCCGCACATCTCCTTCATTTGACTATTTTTCACCTCAAAGGACACTTAATTCCTACAATTTCTCACACGGCGTGACCTTGAAGTTGTAGGCGTCAGCTGCCCGTGTAGAGTAATGGATCCAAATAAATGCCTTTTTTTTGGAGAGGAGGTGGGAGGAAAGATGAAGAATCTGCTATCTACGCATTGTGACTAGTCCATTAAAAGCACGAAATGAAGGCGGGGAAGAGAGAAGCCAGAGATACTTTGATAAGTTGTTACACCTGTGTTAACCTTGATGGTCACCCTGACTCTGGGAAGGGGGTGGTAACATTTTCTGTCTCTCTAGTTGCTTTACACTAGATTCCTGCTCCATCTATCGCCGAGGGAACAAGGGATGGAGGGAAATCAATACAGAGAGGCGTTGGCTGACAGCAGTATCGCTCCAGAATTGAAGTGCCTGTCAGCCTTTGTCATTCTGTGACTTTTGTTCGCTATTGTACTTTTAAGCCGTCATTTTTCTTGGTTGTCACTTTTCACTTTCCCAGCTGAATTCCCCTGGCTGTAATTTTTACGCTGCGACTTTACATTTGGAAAGAAAGTGGGTCAAAAGATCAAGTGCAATGAAAATCTCTCGAATTTGATTGGCCGACGAACATGGCGTATGCTCGTTATTCATTTTGTTTCTCTGAGTGGCGCGTGCATATCCTCCGCAACATAATGAGTTCTGGTCCCTGGCAGATGATGATTATTTTGTTTAACCTTGCTACCCTGTTTAGGGAGGAGAGGGTATACCTGCAGCCCATGATTGTTCATATCTTGTTACAAGGAAACGTTGGGATCTGCTAACACTGGAAAATAGTAGTTATTGGTATGTTGTTTTGCTTTAGTTCCCAATTAATTCTGAATATGAAAAACTTATTTAAAAGTGATTTTTGTTCCACTGGCCTATACAACAATAGGCCTGGATTTTATACCGAAACCTATTGCCACACATTCAGAAGATTTCAGAAACCAATGCAGTTTGTTGAAATACTCTTTTTCTAAAAAAGACATAAAGGGGGCTACCATTCTTGTCAATGGTATTGTTCATTTATTTATATCTGCAGCTTTCTACAAGTGGAAACATGCAGCAAATATTACTATAAAACAAAATAATGCTCCAACATATAATTAGCAGGCTCTGACACAACAAGAAGTTGAGCTTCATCATGATCAACTAAAATGTGAATGACTACTTTTGTTAAATGTCCCAATCAGGATTGATTTATTAATAAATTACCCATGAGAGTCTTTCTCAATGATTTACTAGTAAATGGATGCTCTGCTACAGCACGAAGTGAGTTGTGTGCGTGTATGTGATTTAAAAAAAATCTGATCATACTGAAAAAAAGGTGTTAAACATGTTTAATCTTGTTAAATTTAACAGCTCCCATTTGTTTTTGATTTCAAATTTGGAGTAAATACATTTTAAATATGTGACCCTGGACCACAAAACCAGTCATAAGGGTAATTTTTTTTTATGTTTATGCAAATGACTGAATAAATAAGCTTTCTACTGATGTATGGTTTGTTAGGATAGGACAATATTTGGCCGAGATACAACTATTTGAAAATCTGGAATCTGAGGGTGCAAAAAAATCTAAATATTGAGAAAATCATCTTTAAAGTTGTTCAAATGAAGTTCTTAGCAATACATATTACTAATCAAAAATTATGTTTTGATATATTTATATTTGACCCATACAATGTATTTTTGGCTATTGCTACAAATATCTTCGTGCAACTTAAGACTGCTTTTGTGCTCCAGGGTCACATTTAAAAGTTACAGTACAAACATGTCACATACAAACAAGTTGAAGGCACAAGTGTGCTCCTTTTACCTGAGAAGAATGCTGTCTATCAGAACGGGTGATGAAAACAAAGCACACTACATCATTAGAGTGTGTGTTGACGCCTCAGCGTGTGTGTGTGTGTGTGTGTGTGTGTTTGTATTGCTACAAATATACCCCAGCGATTTAAGAATCCAGGGTCACATATCTTGTTAATTCAGTTGCCTACTTTTGTCAAACTCCAAAATATGCATTTTATTTGGACCTTTATTGAAGTGCTGAATAAATAGTTCTAGACTACTGTAGACGATACAGATTTTTTACAATAATATGGCTCTAATGTTTTGTCATGGGTGTAGTCCGTTGAAGGAAATGAGTGCTGACCCTGTCCGTTTCAGTTCTCCAGAACACAGAACATTTGGAGATGTGGATGATGACTCTGTCTGAAGTCATAAACACATTGCTTTCATGGTTTTCTCTCTGCCTCTATGGCTTCAGCTTCAGCCGCACTGTGACTGCAGATTGTGCTTCCCTCTTCAGTGGACTGCCAAACATGTGCAAGACCCTTTGAATTAAGTTCACCTGGTAGGGTTTCCAGAAGTCTTATGACGTCACTTCAGAATTACAGCCCCAAACGTGATGATAATGTCACTGCTGTGTTCACCTGAATGTGTCCTATAATGCAGCCTGTATGTTCAGCTGCAAGGAAGTAATTTGTCAGGAAGTTCATGAAAATTACGAAGCCCATTATGGAGCTCAGGGATTTGGTGCCGTTGACACTAGTTGATAAAGTGCCTGTTTATGCCAAAGTGTTTGAACTCACGACGGCTAATTAATAATGTGTTAATCAGTCGTTGAAGGGAACAATGAAAAAAATATGGATGATTGCTATGTTTGTTTCTGATTCAGAAAACACCTTCAGAACAAACTTCAAAACGGTTTATTTCAATGAATATTACAAATTCTAAATATTACAAACTTAAAAAGTCTTAAATATTTAAAAAAGTATTTGATTGCATAAGTCATTAATAATATCTGTGCACCTTTTATTGTTGTCAAACTCGTTCTTTTGCTTGTTTTTTCTTTCCTCCATTCTTTCATCAAAACCAATGTTACCCATCTAGAATTTTCCATTTCTTACCCAGACTTGACTTTCCACACCGAACAGAGACAAATCGCGGTCTTTTTTTCCCGTTCCTTTATTCCCGCTCTTTTGTTACACTAGACACTCAAATAGGTTCACATTTAAAGATTCACCCTTTGCCTTTTATCTCTCTTTTATTCCACCGTCCTCTTCTCATGGCTTTAAGGTCACTGCAGAGTTAAGAACAGCGAAATGAGACACAGATTGATAATTAGGAGAGGGAAGCCCCCCCTAATGTGATTTATCTCTATGGATTTTCTGTCATACATGAAGAGTCGATCCTCAAATTGGAGAGGAGGGCCCATTAGAAGGCACTTTGGAGCGTTTACCACTAACTTTACCGAGGCAGGCTTTGGCATCTGCCTTCACTGTATTTGTTGTCTGAGGCGGGTGCTGTCCAAAGCTAATTTAATTTAGGGCCATAACACGCAATGGATGAAGCAGAGGGAATTACATTAAAACAAGCTCTAGTGGTTGCCGTAACCTTTCCGCTTGATTGCTGTTTGCTAGACGTTGCATCAGAATCAGATAAGAGGCACCGGGAAAAAAACGAACCCATGTTGTTTTGCGCTTGGTGGGCTGTTTTCGCTTATTCTGGGTTGAATTCATTCCAGCATCTCACCAGCTTTGTTACTCGTCTCCTGATTTATTGATTCTGATTGGGACATTGGTTTCCGCAGAGGACGGCTTATTCATTTACTTTTCTGCTTTGGGTAGTACCAGATAAAAACCGAATTGAAGTTTTATCAGAGGGATATTTGCAGTGCGAGGTGCTTTGTTAAAGGATTGCATTTGCGTTCAATAACAAATTCTGACAAAGAAAAATGTCTCCTTGTGCATTATGGGTAGTTTCTACATTTTTTAGCGTAGCCCAAAGGCATTAGCAAATACATGTCCAGTGTTATTAATCACTGTGACAACAGCCTGGAAATGACCCAGAGTTCCATTTGTTTCCTGCGTGTATGGAGTTACCGCATACACACACACACACACACACACACTCATACGCTGAGGCGTCAACACACACTCTAATGATGTAGTGTGCTTTGTTTTCATCACCCGTTCTGATAGACAGCATTCTTCTCAGGTAAAAGGAGCACACTTGTGCCTTCAACTTGTTTGTATGTGACATGTTTGTATTGTAGCTTTTAAATGTGACCCTGGAGCACAAAAGCAGTCTTAAGTTGCATGAAGATATTTGTAGCAATAGCCAAAAATACATTGTATGGGTCAAAATTATAGATTTTTCTTTTATGCCAAAAATCATTAGGATATTAAGTAAAGATCATGTTCCATGAAGATATTTTGTAAATTTCCTACCGTAAATATATCAAAACTTCATTTTTGATTAGTAATATGCATTGCTAAGAACTTCAGTTGAACAACTTTAAAGGCGATTTTCTCAGTATTTAGATTTTTTTGCACCCTCAGATTCCAGATTTTCAAATAGTTGTATCTCGGCCAAATATTGTTCTATCCTAACAAACCATACATCAATGGAAAGCTTATTTATTCGGCTTTCAGATGATGTATAAATCTCAATTTCGACATTCAAAATTTACACTTAAGACTAGTGTTGTGGTCCAGGGTCACAAATAGGGACATATGTTTTGAATGAACGGTTTAATATCTTCATTGATCGAATAAAATGCATATAAGAGCACGATTACTCACAAGAGCGGTTTTCTTCTGTCTGCAGTCTCAATGTGCTCAGTATGCCGCTGAGAAACGCGATGAGGAGAAGATGTGCGATCACCTGATCAGGGCCGCCAAGTACCGGGATCACGTCACGTCCACCCAGCTCATCCAGAAGATTGTGAACATCCTCACAGATAAGCACGGAGCCTGGGGCTGCTCTACTTTCAGGTACAAGTTCAGTTATATGACTTGGACCAAATGTGCTGCTGACACCATATTATTATATATATTCACCATCTTACTCTTCGTTATCTTGAAAATGAAGTGAACACTTGTAATGCCACAGAAGTAAACTGAAATTGATTATACCACTAATGACCCAGTGATTAGTTGTTCCTCAAAAGCATTATTATATCACACTGGTTAAAGGGATAGTTCACCCAAAAAGGAAAATTCTGTCATCATCAACTATCCCTTTAACCTGACTTTGTTTACAGCCAGACTTATTTTCTTACTGGAACTTGGGATAAAGCCAACTAATCAGATTGGTGATCGGGCTGTCACAATATTGGATTTTCACTGCATGATTATTGTGGCGAAAAGAATTCACAATAACAAAATTATGATGTCTGTAGACATTAAATAGAAAATAATACAATAATGTCACCAGTCAAATTCATCTTTCTTTCTTTCTTTCATTAATTTAATTTATTTTGTTGTGTTTTCACTTTTTTGGCCAATGAATTACACTCAAAATATGAGTGTCTTGGTCATAATCATAATTTTGTGTGGCAGTAGTAGCTACATACTGCTTCTTCTTCTTCGTTTTCATCATCCTGTACTATTACTACTACTTTTTCCATTTTATGTTGGGAAGCAATCGACGTAAAGCTGCAATACCTGCCATCTACTTGGAGTATCAACCATTCAGTTACTGGCACTGAATTATTTATGAAATTATGTTGTCTAGCATTAACATGCAATAATTTTTAAATATTATTTTTAATATTTTATTTTATTTTATTTTTGGGGGATCATGCACCAGATGGTCTGTGAACAGACGTCTATAGTGATAGGTGATAGGCTCTCCTCTGTTTATTAGTACACCTGCATCCTATTGTACCCCATACTAAATCATCCGTAATCATTAGACCTCATATTATTTACCTCTCTCACGATATGCTAAACCTACATTTCTGCCCATTATGGGCTCTAATGGAGTTTTACAGTCAGGCTTCTGAGCCTGGGTTATGTCTTATTGCTTCGGTTTCTGTGTATGATGCATTGCTGTTGGAATGGGATGAAAGCCAGTGAATGCTACCTGGCCATTACTGAAGGAAACATGAGGAGCTATATTTATCTCTGTAAACACACAGAAATATCCCATAATGAAGCAGTCATGCACTGTTTTTCTCTAATCTAGTTTGTTGCCCAAGAACCTCATTGACTCTGTAGTTCAATTTTTTTCCTTTGTCCTGACAAAATGTGTTCTCTGGAGCTTTGGAGACCTGTCTGTGGTTTGTTGTATCAAGATTTTGTGCTCTCTCTTTCTCTTTCTCTTTCTCTCTCTCTCTCTCTGTTCTTTCCTCTCAGTATTCTGCAGTCATATAATGGCAGGGCGCTCTGTTCTCTCTCTTGGCTCTCTCCCCATTACCGGCCTTTATGTAGCAGAGCTATTGATGACTTTTGTAATAGCATGCGATGGGCGCGTGGTGACGCTGGCACAGTCTCAGAGTGTGTTTAATAAATCACAATCAGACCCTGCTGTTACATCAATACTTCTGCTCAATTACCCAGAAGGTCATGGGCAAAAATGCTGGAGAGCTGGAGATCGGTAACTAGAAGAGAGAACAACATCTGGAAATAAAAGAAGGGACACACACTCACAATGCAACATGCAACTTGCAGCTGCATGTGTACACTGGGTTATTTTCACATCTAATCATGGATTGAAAAGCTGGAAGGGAGTTATTCACTTGGAACTTACCACAAAAAGGGTAAAAATGGTGATTGTAAATCATTGACAACATTTTTGGGGGAAAAAATATTTTTAAGATAAAGTTAGCCATTTTTGTCTAAATGCAGGTTAAAATGGCGTGATTTGTAATTTCTGGCAATAAAAATTCAATAATCATCATAATTACACAATGGTTGTCAAATACAGAATATCTGCAATGGGAAATGGCGATGAAGATTTAGCTTAAATTAAACTATTATGTGGCGGGAGCTAGCTTTTGGAAGCAAAGAAAAATAATTCAATATTATAACAATGTGTATTAGGTATTGGATATAATATTATATATATTGGATAACAGGGTTGACAAATGCATTTGACAGAACAACAGAATTCTTGAGATGCTACTTTTTGGGTTTTGATGAAAATCACGTGATAACAGGTTTGGATGCAAGATGTGGAACCAGGATACTTTAAAAAAAAAAAATGAATTAATGACTTAGAATTATTTGTACAAATATTTTTGCAGCAATAAATTGAATATCAGTTCCACAGATTGTGTCAACACAAAAGGGTTGTGATATTAAATGCTGATATCAGCATATCAAGAAGATTAAGACCTCAAATCAAATTCAGACCCAATTCAGATGCGACTGTTTTAGATAATAGTTATCAATTAGCTGTCACAATAAATTGATAGGATCTGTGCCTCTAATGCTTTGTTTAAAAAGTCATGGGACACCAAAGTGCACCATATTCATAGAGCATTGGTCTTGCTGTAAAACCATTAGAAATGACACACATCCACCGTTTTAGATAACAAAAGAAAACAACAGCATTGAAGCGTTGAGAGACAACACACACACACACAGCAAAATCTTGTTTTTCTCCTCATTGGAAATGAAATCAGATTCCTCAAAGAGCACTCAGCTGCCATGATTACACCCTTTTGTTGGGAGTGTTAAATTTGCAAGCCCGCTAGCTCCCCCCTATAAAGACGTATTCCCCAAAGTTTCCATTCAATAAAAGGCTGAAAATGAAAATATTATTTTCCTTCCCGGCTGATGGTAGTTGTTGTTTCCTCATGGCAGGCATCTAATATCATCTGACACCTACTGACCCGCCTGAATGCAATTTGTGTCTTAATATCCAGCTTACAGCAGCCCCGTCCTCAGGAGAGTTGAGGTGTTAGGTGATTTTCTCTCGTTCCTGCTTTCATTCCTCACGTGCTCCCTCCCTTTCTCGTTCGTGGATGCATTATCAGAGAGGTCCATGGGGCTTTGCACTCCGGCTAACAAAGGAACAGACACACATATACCAACACATACACACATATTCCACTTACTGATTTGGGACTGTCCCATTCTGCGCTGTCCATGGCCCTTCTTTTTTGATTGGATCTCAGATTGACAGACAGATGCATCCACCTGTCGTCTTTCATCTGGTGAAGCAGCTGAACATGTGGCGCTAGCGTCTGCCAAAACCAGACAAAATAAACACGGTGCCCACAAATGAGGCTGCTGATAGCATTCTTTTTTCTTTCTTTTGCCGCCTGCCGTTCCTCTCTCTCCCTCTCTTTTTTCAGTTTCATCAGTGTGGTCATGTTTATTTGGGTCAAGAGACCGATGATCTTTCATGTAGATGACACGCCAGTAAAGTGGTCGGCCGAAAGAGAGATGATAGGGAGGAGGAGGAACGGGAGTCTCACAGGACAGATGAGTCTTCCTCTCATATTCTTCTTCATTGCATTCTGATGGTGGGACTAATGTAGCATGGAAATTCACTCTGCTCCTGCGCTCAGAGCAGTTCCACACCCTCAAACACTGTCAGGGAGAAGATGAGGAAGATGAAAGCAGATGAAATGAAGAATAGACAGCTTGAAAGAAGGGGATATTTTTGTAGTGCACAAGCTCACAGATATGAAGAGCAAACTATGGTTTAAGAGTTGAACATTTCTGTGAATGAGATCATCTTTGGTTGCTCATTTTGTTCAAACCATTAGAGAATGTGTGCTGTTTGGCTGTGTACAAGCAGTATCCCCTCTTTTACAGTTTTGTATGGCTTTTATCAAAATTTGTATGCCCAGGAAGTAACATCTCTCTCTTTTTTTTTTTTCCTCCTGGCTTTTACACAATTTGTAGTGTTGTCTGCCTTCATAAAACTCAACCTTTCAGACCCTGTTATGCAAGGTACTGTAGGAATTTTCTCCTTATAGTAAATATAAGTGCATCAGTAAACGTAACATTTTCTCCTAAAAATTTACTATTTATTTATTTATTTTAACATTTTCTGGCTTTTGCCTGTTTTGGAAAAATCAATCACATCAATGTTTTTTTATTTTATTATATATATTTTTTTAGATTAAATACATGGTGACAAGGTTTACAAAAATAAATAAACTATTTATTTTTATAGTAAATATGCATGCATCACAAATTATAAACTAACATTTGCTCCCAAAAATGTAAAATTTATTTAATGAATTTTATAGATTTTACCCGTTTTGAAAATACCGATCTCACCAATTTTATTGTAAATATAAGTTTGTCAGTAATTACAAACCAGCATTTTCTGCCCCCAAAAAATACTTTTTTTTAAATTATATTGCCTGTTTTGGAAATACCAATCACACTAATTAGGGTTTTTATTTAGATAACTCTATTTAGATATTAAATACATGCTAACAGGGTTGAAAAATTGGGAAACACTCAACATTGACAATCAGCATTTTTGCACCACCTTCTACTGACCATTTCTTGAAAGACCGAAAATGGCCGTTTTTAAGGGTTTCACACCCTGTTTTGTATTCTCTTTGTGAAAAGTGCCAGTTATTGAAGAAATACCAGGTTTTATCAGAAACTGGGGCAGTTGTTCTTAAGACTCCTGCTTATTATTGTGCTCTTCTTTCTTTTGCACTCTCTTTTTTTATATCTGTTTTCTCACTTTCGTTTCCCACCATCACACCCTATCTCTCTCTCATTCTTTCTCTCTCCTCCTCTAATGCGAGTCATTTCCAGCAGCAGCTCCAGTGATCTCTAATGGAGCTCCTCGGGGCTGGAGGCACCCCTGCCTGGGGACATCCATCTTTTCTGTGTCAGGAACCCACGCCGGCAGAAACCTTTGTGATGTGCACTCCAATTTTTCTTCAGTAAATCAAATCTTCCCTTCTTTCAGAGAGATGAATGCTGCAGGGTTGTGGTGTTATAGAGAAAATCAATGCAGGCAAAATTGAAACAGTATGCCCGCGTATTGATCGGCCTTGTGAAATCGAAAC